TATATATATATATATATATATATATATATATATATATATATATATATATATATATATATATATATATATATATATATATATATATATATATATATATATATATATATATATATATATATATATATATATATATATATATATATATATATATATATATATATATATATATATATATATCATTCTCAAATAACATAAGAAACTTTCCCATACATCTATCCACTTGACGCATAGCAGCTCAAGCCGTATGCTCTCTACTGCCAAGCTCTTCCTATTGGGAAAAACCTATTAAAACGAAATATTTTTTTCTCTCTTTGTGTATCAAAATGGGTTTTTCATCAAAATACTAACTTGATAACCAAATGAAAATATCAATCAGCATAAACAATAGAGCAAAACTTCAATCATACAGTGAGACCAAATTTTTTAACGTGAAAAATCCAATATGGGAAAAACTACGGGACCGTAGTCCACCTCAAACTTCCACTATCAATAATAATGATAATAGGTTTACAGTATGTCTACTCTAGAATAACTAGAGGATTAGTATAACATCAAAAATATAGATCTTGACTCTAGCATATCATCAAGATAGATCTCCTCAAAAGAGAATTCTAGGTCTCACAGAGTGGATATCGCAGGAAAGTACCTTAGAGAGGGTAAACTACAGATCAACACCGTTAGGATTGTAGAGTTTGCTGCAAGGATTCTCCACATAAAATTTGGGCCGAAACTGACAACGTTTGACCACCGATCGTCAAGCAGAAAACTCAAAAACCTAATCTTTCTCTCTCCTCTTTTCTCTACACGTGCGACGTCGCACGCTGCACGTGTTCACTGCACATGATCACTGCACAACCTAATTTCGCCCTTTCTCTGGATTTGGGCTTATGGCCCAAATTGTCCAAGCCCACATATGGGTTGGACCCAATAATTCTCCCCCTCCAGCTCATATGGTGGGCTGTACCAAGCCCGCTTTTCGCCTATATACTTCAAGCTTCTCCTTAGGCAAAGACTTTGTCAACATATCTGAACCATTATCATTGGTATGTACTTTTTCCAAGTGTAATTCTTTCATCTCAAGCACATCACGAATCCAGTGATATCTCACATCAATATGCTTGGATCTAGAATGGTATCTTGAATTCTTGGAGAGGTGAATGACGTTCTGACTGTCACAGTAAACAGTATATCCTTCCTGTTTCAAGCCCAATTCCTGTAGAAACTTTTTCATCCATAAAGCTTCCTTGCATGCTTCAGTAATTACTATGTATTCTGCTTCTATGGTTGATAGAGCAACACACTTTTGTAATTTAGACTGCCAATAGACTACTCCTCCTATAAATGCCATCAAGAATCCCGAAGTGGACTTCTTGGAATCAATATCACCTGCCATGCCTGCATCTGTGTAACCTTCTAACACAGGTTCATCATTACCAAAACATAAACATAACCTGGAAGTACCTCTTAAATATCTTAATATCCATTTTACTGCTGCCCAATGTTCCTTTCCAGGATTTGAGAGAAATCGGCTGACAACTCCAACTGCATGAGCTATATCTGGCCTAGTACAAAACATCGCATACATCAAACTACATACTACAGATGAGTAAGGCACTCTGGACATTTCTTTTTTTTCTTTCTCACTTGTAGGACATTGTTTCGAACTAAGCTTGAAATGACCTACAAGTGGGGAACAAACTGCTTAACCTTTACTCATGTTGAATCTTTCAAAAAACTTTTCAACGTAAGTCTCCTGAGATAGCCAAATCTTCCTTTTCTTCCTATCACGAAGAATCTTCATGTCAATTATTTGTTTCACCGATCCCAAGTATTTCATGGCAAAAGACTTACTTAGCTCTCTTTTAAGCTTTCCAATTTTTCCAACATCATGACCAACAATCAGCATATCATCAACATATAGTAGTAAAATAATAAAATCATCATCTGAAAATTTCTTCATAAACACACAATGATCAGATGTGGTTCTATCATACCTTTGGCTCATCATAAAGGAATCAAACTTCTTATGCCACTGTCTACGTGTCTGTTTGAGTCCATATAAGCTTTTCCTAAGCTTACACACCATATTTTCTTTTCCGACTTTGAAACCTTCTGGTTGCTCCATGTAAATTTCTTCTTCTAAGTCACCATGAAGAAATGTTATTTTTACATCAAGTTGCTCAACTTCTAAATTCAAGCGGGCAGCTAAACCAAGAACAATTCGGATAAAGGACATTTTCACAATTGGAGAAAATATTTCTTCAAAGCCAATACCTTTCTTCTGACTGAATCTTTCACAACTAGTCGTGCCTTGTATCTTTGTTGTGAGCTATTATTTTCAGTCTTCAATTTATAAACCTACTTATTCTTGAGAGCTTTCTTCTCTTTAGACAATTTTATCAAGTCATAAGTGTGGTTCTCAAGCAAGGATCTCATCTCTTCTTGCATGGCTTTAACCCACTCATTCTTATTCTCATGTAGAATAGCTTCTTGGTAAATTTCTAGCTCTCCCCCGTCAGTAAGCATAACATACTCATGTGGAGGATATCTGGTAGATGGTTGTCGCTCTCTAGTGGATCTTCTCAATGGAATCTCAACTGGTGGTGGAGGTGCCTGTTCAGTTGGTTCAACATCATCAACTGTAGATGTATCATCACTAGTAGTCTCACCACAATCTTCTTGTTCATCTCCCCCATGATCATCATGAACTATAGGTGAAGGAACTGGACCCAAACTCCAAGGAATATAAATAGAGGTTTCTGGCTTCTCAATATTATCACCATCATCAAACAATTGGTCTTCAAGAAACACAACATCTCTGCTTCTAATAATCTTCTTGTTCACTGGATCCTATAATTTGTACCCAAACTCTTCATGACCATATCCCAAGAAGATACATGCTTTTACCTTATTATCAAGTTTGGACCTCTCATCTTTGGGAATATGAACAAATGCTTTACACCCAAAGACTCTCAAATGATTATAAGATATATCTTTTCCTCTTCATACTCTCTCTGGAACATTACCTTTCAGAGGAACTGATGGAGAAAGATTTATCAGATCAACTATAGTTCTCATAGCCTCCCCCCAAAATGACTTTGGTAACTTGGCGTGGGAAAGCATACACCTAATCCTTTCTTCAATGGTTTTGTTCATCCTTTCTACCACACCGTTCTGCTGAGGAGTTTTAGGAACTGTTTTCTCAAGCCTGATACCATGGAACCTGCAATAATTCTCAAAAGGACCCCTGTACTCGCCACCGTTATCTGATCGAATACACTTTAGTTTTCTACCAGTTTCTCTTTCAACACTGACATGAAACTCCTTGAAAACATCGAGTACCTAGTCTTTAGATTTCAAAGCAAAAGCCCACACTTTTCTAGAATAGTCATCAATAAAAGTAACAAAATAAAGAGCACCTCCAAGAGTTCTAGTTTGCATAGTACAAACATCAGTATGAACTAAATCAATAACATCTTATCTTCTAGATGATGGATATATCTGAAATGCAACTCTATGTGTTTTTCCAGCTAAGCAATGATCACAAGATTCAAGAGATGTACCTTGCAACTCTAGTAAGAACTGCTTTCTAGCAAGAGTTTAAAGTCCCTTCTCGCTGATATGTCCAAGCCTCTTATGCCAAAGATCTATACTTTCACCTTTTTGAATTACATTAATCTCTCCTTTGTGTAGCTTAGCTTCCATGACATAAAAAGAGTTAATCTTCTTTCCTTTTGCCACAATCAGAGAACCTTTAGTAAGTTTCCATTTGCTTTCACCAAAATAGTGTGCAAAACCCTCATCATCAAGTCTATCTGTAGATATTAAGTTATGACGAATATCTGGAACATACCTTACATCTTTGAGTATCAATTTGCTCCCAATACTAGTCTCCAAGTAAATATCTCCAATACCCACAATCTTAGATGTATCACTGTTTCCCATTCTGACATTACCAAAATCACCAGCAGTGTAAGATCTAAAGAAATCACCATGAGAAGTAACATGAAATGAAGCACTAGAGTCAATTACCCAATTATTGTCCTGAGCTACAAGATTAACACAACCTTCATCACAGACAATAGTGATATTACCTTCAGCAGCAACTGTATTGGTCTCTTTCTCATTTTTCTTCATTTCATTCTGTTCTCACTTCTAAAACCTACACTCTTTCTTCATGTGACCTGGCCTATTACAGTGAAGACATTTGATATCTCTTCTAGACTTGGATCTTCCTCTATATCCATATGGATTTCTGCTATGACTTCTTCCACGTCTTTCTTGTTTTTCAGTAACAAATGCACCAGAAGAAGATTCACCATGTTTTTTCCTTCTAGCATCTTCATTTAGCAAATTGTCTTTAACCATATCTATAGTTAGAGTCCCATCTGGCGTGGAGTTATAAATAGTCACCACATACGTTTCTCAACTTTCTGGTAAAGAGCTAAGAAGTAATAATCCTTGCATCTCATCATCTATATTCATTTTCATAGCAACCAACTTGTTTGCAAGAATCTGAAATAGGTTTATGTGCTTAATAATGTTATCACCATCTTTATACTTCAAATTTACAAGCCTTCTGAGGAGAGAAATTATATTTCCTACTATCTTTTTCGCAAAGAGATTTTCTAACCTTTGCCAAACAACATCAGCTTTGATTTCATCTGAAATATGCTCATGCAAGTTTATATTCATCCATCTTCTAATATAAGCAATAGCTTTTCTATATTGAACTTCTCATTCTTCATCGTCGTAGAAGGTTTATCTTTAACCTTGATAGGCTTATACAAATCTTTGCAATATAGCAAATCTTCCATCAGACGCCTCCAAGTGGAATAATTTGATGAGTTCAATTTAATCATACCATCTGACTCCATTTCAATCACACAAGAAAAACTAGCACCAAACAACCTATTGCTCTGATACAACTTGTTGGGAAAAACCTATTAAAGCGAAATATTCTTTCCCTCTTTGTGTATCAAAATGGGTTCCTCATCAAAATACTAACTTGATATCCAAATGAAAATATCAATCAGCACAGCATAAACAATAGAGCAATACTTCAATCACACAGTGAGACCAAATCTTTTAACGTGGAAAACCCAATATGGGAAAAACCACGGGACCGTAGTCCACCTCAAACTTCCACTATCAATAATAATGATAACAGGTTTACAGTATGTCTTCTCTAGAATAACTAAAGGATCAGTATAACATCAAGAATATAGATATTGACTCTAGCATATCATCTCCTCAAAAGAGAATTTTAGATCTCACAGAATGGATATCACAGAAAAGTACCTTAGAGAGGGTAAACTACAGATCAACACCGTTAGGATTGTAGAGTTTACTGCAAGGATTATTCACATAAAATTTGGGTCGAAACTGACAACGTTTAGCCACCGATCGTCAAGTAGAAAACTCAGAAATCTAATCTTTCTCTCTCCTTTTTTTTCTCTGCACGCTGCACGTGTTTACTGTGCATGATCACTGTACAACCTAATTTCGCCCTTTCTCTCGATTTGGGCTTATGGCCCAAATTGTCCAAGCCCGCTGGACCCAACACTTCCGAGAAACAAACAGTCTGGTCCGGTGGTGTGTGAGTTGGAGCGCACAAGGCTCACTTTCCATCGCGCAGGTGCTCCCCATTTCATCCTTCTCTAGTGGTCTCACTATGAAATGAAATGTATGCATGCATGAAGTTGCAGAAGAAACCAGCAGTCAAGCGATTAACACAAGGAGGAACAGTTTCTCTTCATGATGAAATCAGGGATCCACATGCTCAGCTTTCATGTCTGTGATCGTAGCAAAAGATATCATTTGGACAGAAATGTTTCTGATGCTTGTCGAGTGTTATCCTAGTGGAAGAAGAACAAAGCATTGTTTTTGGGCCATTCATCGGTTCCACTTTCTAAAGCCACCGATGCAACATAATTCTTGATGGAGCTCAGTGACTCATCCAACATTAAAGCCGCAGTATGTTGGTTGGTGCCCACAACATAGGGACTAACTTTTCTCCTTGTTAATATTGGTTGGTGAGAGGATGAAAGATGAAGATGATGGAAATATTAAACATGTTATAGAATCATATATATAACCACTAGTAGAATCCAAGCAGTTGGAGAAATAGGAGTTAATGAATGCTATCATTATTCTTCCTCATAAACCCATTCATGATATTTTAAGTCGACATCTTTTTTTGGTTTTTTGATTTGTTTTCGGCTGAGAATAATATTTATTCTCCTTTAATAGTTAAGATATGTAGCTGCTCATCCTCATATCGGATGTCATCTTGCTTCCCACATTAATAATATTGTTAGATCAGACTCGATGCTCTATCGAAATTATACGTTTCTAATTCTTTATGTTCATCTCCATACCATCAACTAAATCTGTGACCATCATGCTTTGACTAATTTTTGGATAGGATTTTGGGTTATTCTACACAGGTCAACCACGTAAATTTCGAAGGTTTATGTTGACTTCAAAGGTGGGAAAACGCATGCCGACTCTTTCGAGCTGGTGCGATTTGATCTTTCCGAAGTGGGAACGAAAGTTCACCGCGAGTTTCTTTTGGTCTTCAACGTCCAAACCCTTGCCAAGGCACAACAGCTGTGAGTCATCTTTGCTCCAGTGGCTAAGTGGAGACTTGTGTTAGAGGCGATTGAGAACCGACAAAGGGCGCGCTTATAGTCTTGGAAGGTGCAGCCAACGAGAAGCATCTGTTGGTGATGGAGTCGAAACAGAAAGCCGGAAGATCACGCAAGGAAGTTTTTGGATCAGAGTTCATCCCTTCATCGTCTTTCTAAAGCTTGCATTAATTTGTTTGTCCTTATGCCTTCGTTACAGCAATAGACAAAGATCGAATCTACACTCTGTAGAACAACCTGATCAGTATCATCTTTTGTTGTTCATGGACATACAAATAAACAAGTTACAGAGATAGAACAGAGACTTCGCTCTTGTTCTGATGACAAGCCTGCATGAAACGTTTGGACTCGGACATTATTATAGGACTCTTTGAAGGATACGAAGAACTACATTTACACTGCTGCTGGTTCAGGCTAAGTCCTTCATCTCTTCCAGGAACGCCTGCATGTGCTCCTTCTCGACGCACTGCGTCATCACCCGTGTCCCCTTTTGCGGCGCCGGCGGTGCCCCGATGATGCCGACCGCCATGATATCCAAGTACGCGAACGGTATAACGTGGAGGGGCTTGCCCCAGCCGTAGTCTACGTCGAGGAAGCCCAGCCGGGTCCAGTCCGACACGAACAGCGAGTCGTACGTGAAGCTGA